AAATTGTTTTGTACTTTTGTGGAGGGGGAGGTGAGAGGGAAAGGGAAATGGATTGCATATGGATATGTGAGTGAAATGGAGTTGAGAGATGTACAAAAATCTCACATTGATAAAAAAAAAAAAAATGTAAGGTGATAAAGTACAATTTATATGTGGGAGGTTCATAGACTTAATAGGTATGTTTTTTTAATTTAATTTAGAATCATGTCTTGTAATTTAATGTTTTGTTTAATCAACTTTGAGATTTTTTTTGAATAAAATGTAAATCTTATTCATCTAATATAATTGTATGTACAATAAAACAGCTAATAAGCTACTATAAATCAAAAGCACCAATAAAAAAATGATAAAATTATACAAACAATATAAAGGTTAATGTTATACAACTGTCTTAAAACCCCATTTGCAAGCAATAGCCATGGGTAGAAGAGATGAGTTTGGCCGAGCAAAACCCAAAACCCTACTTCTTATGATAGAGATGGTAGTTTAGAATAGTTTAATATTTTATATTCATGCAATTGTGTTTAACTACATCTGTTAAATTATACAATTTACTATTTCTTTACCATTAATCTAACATAAATTATCATTTTATTATGTTTCTTTATTTTATTACTATTTCAAGATTCATTACTCTAGTTATTTCGATGAATGTAAATTCCATTATGTGGAAGCCCTGTTGAGGATGTCGACTTGATCTATTGTTAGGACATTAAAACTGTTGTTAGTAGACTTAGATGTACCAATAATTTAAATAGTTTAGTAGTTGTTTTTTTGTTATAGTTTAGTAGTTGTTTTTTTGTTATGTGAAACAATAAATTTTAAATTTAAGTTGTAGAGAAAATTAGTAATGAGATGAAAAAATATTAATTTTTATTATATAACTCAAAAATAATAAAAGAGAGACTTTGATATAGTTCCTTCAAGACACTATACTATAGAAATATTAAGTTCTATAGAAAGTGATCCTCAAATTAGGGAAGTTTGTCATTATACTCAACATTGTGAGGATGCAATTAAAAAGATAAATATAATATAATTATAATATTACATAAAATTATAAT